ATGAACATTCACTTCCATAAATAGCATGTTTTAAAAAGTACAAGTGATGAGGCCCCACCACAGGTATTAAGAGACATTAGTAAAACAAACCATGGCTCACTTTTACAGTGGAGTTTGTTATTGTTAAGACAAGGTCATGTGTAGCTCATCCAGCCTTGAATTCCTGATGCTCTTGCTTCCATCTCCAGTGGGTTCAGATAATAGCTACCACATCTGTTCATTAATTTTGTTTGTTTGTTTGTTTGTTTGTTTTGCTTTTTTGAGACAGGGTTTCTCTGTGGCTTTGGAGACTGTCCTGGAACTAGCTCTTGTAGACCAGGTTGGTCTTGAACTCACAGAGATCCCTGTGAGATCCTTAGTCACTGTTAGTCCACCTTGGTGGTGTACATCTGCACTGTATGCAGAATGGCCAAAACCCTATCTCTCTCCTTCACTCCAAAGCTACATTGCGATGGTGACTCACCTATGGTGGGTGATCCTGAATATAGACTTCCTGTTTTACAGTTCGTTTACTGTTGTTATAAAAACATGCCCAGTGGGTATGGTATTGTATAAAGTATAAAAGTTGTCAGAGTAAAAATAACCCTTGTGAATATTAACAGACTGGAGGGAGCTGTGGTTGTAAGGGAAGGGTTATTTACTCACAAATGACATAGCATTCCATCACAAGACTCCAGAACCATGGGCTTTTGCTCTAAGGGACTGAGAGCCATAGGTTAGATACAGTCCGAGTTTAATATTAATATGCTTCAGGCCTCAACAATACATGCTAAGACACAGGCACACATGCATGCACTCACACACGCATTACTTCTACACAAAGATCTTGCCAAAAAGTGACTGTTCAACCCCAGACTGGTGCCACTTTTGCTATTGGTAATTTTGTTCAAAGATTATCATTTAAAAATATTTTGCACATTCCTTCACCTTTGTGTCTTTGTGGTTGGTTTTTTGTTTTGTTTTGTTTGTTTGTTTGTTGTTTGTTTGTTTTTTGAGACAGAGTTTCTCTGTGTAACAGTTCTGGCTGTCCTGGAATTCGATTTGTAGATCAGGCTGGCCTTGAACTCACAGAGATCTGCTGCTTCTGCCTCCGGAGTGCTGGGATCAAAGGTGTGTGCAACCAACCACTCCCTCTCCTCAATTGTGTCTTAAAAACAAAACAACCACAAAACCCAAACCAGAAAACAAAAACAAAAACAAAACATTCCCTTGTTCCAGCCTCTTTGAATGTGTATACAAATTCACTTTGGCACACAAATTTCCATTGTAGCAGTTGGTTTTCCCATGGAAACATTCTGTTATTGAAAACGCATTGTCAATGATCTGGAGAACTTCTCCAGTTGTTGCTTAGATTGGCAAAACCAACAAGGGTTACATATAAAACACTGACAATCTGGAGGGTTGTGCTTGGGAGAAGGAAGTGAGGAGAGAAGAAAGGGTCAGTAAAGGAAAGGAAGGAAGAGGAACTAGGAAGAAAAGCAAAGTGGAAAAGGAGGGCCTCTAGAGATAGCTCGGGTGTAAACATATCAGTTGCCAAGCCCCGAGGGCTAGCGTCCAATGCTAGGGCCCACACAGTCGAAGGAGGAAAGGGATTCCTGCTTCATGTTGTCCTCTGACCTCCAACACAGGCACACAATATGAATTGAAATGCAATTTTGAAAACTAAGAGAATAAAATGAAAAGGACAGTCTGGGAAACAATAGCTTCTATTTCAGTCACTAAAGACTTTAAAGGAGGATGTTAAAAGGCTTTGTTTTAGCCAGGCATTGGTGGCACAGGCCTTTAATCCCAGTACTTGGGAGGCAGAGGCAAGCGGATCTCTGTGAGTTAGAGGCCAGCCTGGTCTCCAGAGCGAATGCCAGGATAGGCTCCAAAGCTACACAGAAACAAAAAAAAAAAAAAAAAAAAAAAAAGGCTTTGTTTTGTAGCCCCTTTCCCTTCACTAGCTATAAAGCATGGTGCCTGGCACTGGAGGACATCAGTCCACATGTAGAATGGATTTCTTTGGCATTAATAAGCACATTGATGTCCTGGATTTTTGGTGCCACCCTGGATGACAAGCACACATCCTCCTCTACTACCCCAGCCAGCTCTCACCCCAACCACAAAGTGGGGTTCTTTTAAATTTCCACAATTAATACAAGTGACATACTGCCATGGCCAATATATGACATACATCGGGGGTGGGGGGGGGATCTCCAAAAGAGGCTGATTATTGGAGGAGCAGTAGTACAACATCCAGTCTGGATAAAAGGGTCTGCTTTTCAGGCTTCCCTGCACGGTTGAACCATTGAGTTTGGAGCTACAGGAAGTAGCTGGCTGGTATCAGAGTGCAAGCTCTGGGGGTTGTAGTGAGCTTGCATTCTCTCCTCTCATAAAAGTAGGAACAGGGTTTAGGCATCTTTTGTCTTCTGCAGTTTCCAGCTGGCATCCTTTGGACAAAGGCCTTCCCACCTTACCCTGATTCCAGGACATCTCTGGTGCAGCGGAGGCTGGAGCACTGGAGAGTCCTTCAGTTAAGAACGCTGTTTCTCCGATTGGACCTTAGCTGACCGTACCCAGGAATGGGGATGTGTGGAGGTAAGCTGTCCTATTCCTCCTGCCTGTGTTTGCTGAAGGGACTTCCGTGGCCATTTCTCCTTTATATCAGCAAATGCGAATGACCGACGATCTGAGCTATTGAGGCAAAACTCCACAACCAATCCATCAGCCTGAGAAAAGCCGGACTACCACCCCCAGCTTTGAGAGCCGTATGTACCCCAACTTTGGTGTCTCTAGCCGCTCCAGCCGCACAGGCTCTGGAGAAATTTTCTTCGATGCAAGTGACCACCGCCTCCTCGCGCCCTTAAGCAATTCATGCTTCTCCCCCTAAGCACAGCATTTAAACGACTTAGGGGTTGCTGAAAGTGAACCAACCACTGGCTTTCGAGCAGTAGCTAGAGAAGATACGAAACCCGGCATACTGGACCCGACTCGGAATTTATGAGAGTATGTATCTTCTCAAGAGAGGTAGCGTTTGCGCAGAGAGAAGGGCCGGGAGGAGGGGCAGAGG